ACAATAGTCCAAGAAATCGTAAATGCTAGTAAAGTCACCAATTTAAGAAATAGACGTTATTCAGAGAATTGGATTTTATTATGCATGTTGTTGAAAATAAGGTAAAAATATTCACTTAGACAAAGAGTGGTCAAAAATATTAATTATTAATTTTTTTCAGATCACCTTCGACTTATGGATTTTTAAGGGAACAAGTATATCTTAGTCCGTGGTTTTGGGGTAGAAAAAAAAACTGTAACGGAATGTAATACCCAATGGTTTTGAACTCTTCGCCATTCTCTCAAGCAGACTGAACTCCGAAAGTTGAAATACAACAGTTTTTAGTGTGCATAAATCATTGTTTGATCATCAGTTTGCAGTATAATTAAATATATTTTTTTTTAAATTTTTTTTCCAACGTAAAAGGTTTTATCAGTTATTTTATTATTAACTTTGAATTGTTGTATTGCTATTGAAGTGTAATATTTGATATTAGGAATGCGTAAATAAAATTGTTTACAACAATATTAAAAAAATTAACAAATTAAAATTTACAGCGTAATATAATGTGTAACGGCATAGGTATTTCAGTATAATATGTAACATTATTTAATCTCGTTTTTAATGAAAATATTCTCTTTTCCTTTTGATAACATAAAATATCTTAATCAGATTATTGTAAAAAAATAATTAATTTCACCATAAACGATTTTATTATTTAAAATGTATAGATACGTATATTATAATATAATTAATTGCTTTAAAACATGTTTAATTGATACACAGTTGTTAAAATCGACTTTTATAATAATTATCTGAAATCACATATTTTTAATGAATGTCTTTTTTTAGAATTTGGTATAGCAGGTATATGTAATCTCGTATTGAATAAATAAAATATAAATGCTAACAAGTAAATTGTAATATAAGTATTTATACATAGTATTTTTTATCGGGGTATATTATGGGTTATAGTGTAAACATCATATTATTTAAATATTATCGAGACACAAATTTTAAAATACCTACTCGAAGTTATATCGTGATGATTATTTTAATTTAATTTAATTTTTTTATCATATTTAATTTATATGATTGAGTGTATAGTCGTATGGATTTAATATTTAAAGTTCATAATACCTACTTAATATGGTTTACACGTTTTTATTTTTTCTATAAAATATAACATAATATTAAAGTTTAAACACTGTTTTTGGCATTGTATGTTTAACTAAAAGTTATTTTAAAATTCAAGGACGTGTTATAATCAATATTAATATGAGCAATAACTAATATTGATTTATATTCTATATTTGGATCTAACTTTAAAATATATATTTCCTACCTTTGTAGTATACTAGTATGTATAATGATGTACCTATTTCAGTGCAAAATCTAATGTGTGGTTATGCCTATAGTTAATATATTATGTACAATATCAAAACTCACATACCGTCAAAAAGTGATTTCCTAGTACAGAAGATAGGTATCAAGTTTTGTTCAAATTAGGATATTACAACTCAAGTCAATAATTATTTAGAAAATATGGTATCGGTACATGCACGTATACATGCGGGGGTTTAATGGTTCAAACCTAAACCGAAATGTTTTCAAACGATATTATTTTTCGACATTCAGTTATTATATTATTATTTTACCTATGTAAAATAGAATTTTGAATTTTTTTAAAAATTATTTTGTATCAACTTTTCGATTATATTAACGTTCACATTTTCTATACAATACATATTATTATTTACATTTCTTGCTTGGTTTATATAACTGTCCTTGTTGTATCCGACGGTAGGTATTTTATGATTTATTCCGCAGTCTTTCGTCGAATTTACTGTTTGGATGGCTTAAATATTTCTTGCCTTCTTGGAACATATTATAATATGCGTTTATACTGCAGGTCTAAGGCCATTATACTCTGTATAATCGACCAACGAGTTTTTTTTATTTAAAATACATATTTTAACGATTTTTTAGTCGTTAAATCTGTAACAATTGATTATACGCTCTACAAAACGAAAAAATGAAACAATATTTTTTTTTGTTCACATCAAAAATGTTTATTATAACAAAAGGGCCGCAAATAAGAAAAAAAAATCGAAATTTATATGTGTAAACAATTTAACAATTTTGAATTTTGAATAACTTAAATTAAAAAAAAAAAATACGACGGACAGGATAGACACAATAAACAAGGGGGGGAGGATGCGAGATGGCGATTGGTGCAGAAATGCAGTGTTGCTGGCCACTGGTCACCTCTGCACGTTCTCCGACCTGTCCCGCGGGTTGACGAGTGTTGCTGGCGCGTTTGCTCGGACGCTTGACGACCTTGCCCAACCGACGAGGCCAGACCGAGACGGCCACGGGAGCGACCACGGTTGACGGCGACTAGTGCGCGATGTGGTGCGCATCGACGGTCGACGGCATGACGACTCGTGACGACGGATGGCGAAGACCAAGACGTGGAGCCAGCGAAATGAGATTCTGTGCTGCGGATCCGGTGGGGACGATCGAAGCGGCCGATTTGGGATTACCGCTGGGCGAAAAGGCGAGAGCCAGCGGACCACAGCGCAATCCTTGACTTTCGGTAATTTTCGCCCTGGCGTTGTCCCTTCGGCCGCCGCGCGCCTCCAGACCCTGAAACGGTTAAGTTTCTGCGAGTCCGGCGCCGCTGACGTCCCCGTGTTCCTAGCACTCGAATCTCCGTACCACTCACCCCGTGCCGAGGTCTCCGCCGGTGCCGTCGTACCGAGTCGCCGCCGCCGTCGTACCAAGTCGGTGTACCGTCGGGTCGGAATCGTTGCCCGCGCCGGTACGTCTACTAGCCGCCGTCCACCGCCGCCATCGCATCACGTGACCGTAACTGCGGTCCGGCGCTCGCCGAGCCGCCAGAGGGTCTCGCGCGTCATCGACGACCGAGCGCGCGACGCCAGCGAACCCGTCGCGCCGCGGGTGCAGGTCGGAGAACGTGCGCGGGTGACTTACCGCCGCGCACCGTCCGTGCTCTTTCCCGCATTCTCCCCTCCATTCGGTCGCCGTCATCTCCTGTCCGTCGTCTTCGCCCAGGGGGGGGGGGTCTTCTCCTGTGGCGGTCTCGATATTTTCATCCGATACATCGTCTTCTGGACACAAAACATCCTCCACTTCTGCTTCAGAAACCTTCGAATTTCCGTCTTCTCTTACTGTGTCGTCGTCGTCGCCGAGCGGTGCTGTCTCTGGGATCGGACCGAGCTCCGACTCTGTAGCAGACGACAGCGCGTCGCCGCTCGGCACTCCGCCACAGTGCGGGGAGACGGTCTCCTCGACGTCTTCAGCCAACTCCTCTCCGTCTGCGCCTCCGAGAGTCGAGCCTTCGGGCTCCGACTCCAGGGTCTGAACGTCGCTGTAGTGGCGACCGTAACAATGGCAGACAGAAGTGGAGTGACTACAAGAACGACAACGAGATATTCGTCGGTTTCATCGGCCAAAGCGAGTTCCATCTTGTTGACCAAAATTTCTTCCACCATTTCCAGTAATATTATGTTTTTGCGGCTCGGTCGATGTTGTTAAAGTTTGTTGCCATAATTTATTTTTTGAAAGAAGATAATATTTGCATTTGGATTTAATCGAGAATGAGCTAAATACAAATCGTTCAACACATAGACCGATCTCCGAGAAAATTTCCCAGACGACGGCGTGTGTTACTAGCCAGCTAGTATTTTTATCGTTCTCGTCGGCCCGCAGCATTAGAATTTCAAGCGCGTTAATAATAACAATTTTATTTTATTTGCAAACAATTCCCAACATATTGTACATTATAAATACAGTAGTAAGTCTGCTCACCTCCTATAAGCAAAAGCTTGGGTGAGAGGCTCTTAAATTAGACATTCAATTTAAATACAAATAATAACAATAAAGTACAATATGAGATATCTTAGTCCGTGGTATCTACATATTTAAATATTTTTTAGTACCTAATTATTTTTAGTGTAATGCTCGGAATCTTACATGGATTTTGCTTCACTCCTAAAGTACCCAAGTATTGTAGGAATATAACACTTTTCATTTAATATTCTTTTTTTTTAATTGCACAAAACGGTTGATGTTGAAAATTGCAAATTGTTTTCATACTATTGTTGTAATAAGCTGTAGATTTGTTATCTATAGGTATTGTTAATTAGTGCTAACTGTTAATAGGCAATTAGTGTAGACTAATGGTTGAATTAATTATATAAGTAGGTCATTCTATATTAAACAATAACCTACAACAATTAAACGTTTTGTATATTTTTATTGTTTTAAAATTTAAAAAAGGAGGAAACAGGAAAATAGCTAACTGCTCTGTTAACTGTTGTACAGTAGGTGACGGGTGTACTTTGTTATTGATATTTGATACTTTGTTTATTAAGTCACTGTAATGGATGTGTTAATTAATGTGAATTCAATGATGAATCATTGCATACGAAAAACGCAGGCACGTACACAGAATAAAATTTCGGGGGGGGGGGGGGGGGGGTACAAAATATAGCAATACAAATTGTACAGCAACATAATAAAACAATGTCTTCCTACTTACTCATTATTTTTAATTTTTTAATTATTATGCTACATTTTCAAACTTTATTATGTATGTCATTTGTTCAGTGTTCAGAAGTAAGTATATTTAGGAAATAGGAATATTAGGAATAATAATAGTAATAAAAATAAATAAAACTTTAAATAATATGTACCTATTATGAACAGAACAGAAATGTATTTGATTATTATATGCACAATATGCACATACAATTACCTAGGTATATTAACATTTTAAGTACCTATAGATAGAAGAAAAAAATCAAACAATTTATATATTTTATATAAAAAAAAAATACAAACTAAAGTATAAAATCCGTACATTTACATTTACATATACATTTTTCCATTTAGCTAGCCATATTTTAATTTCTGCGTCAAATGTTTCATAATTAGGTAAAATATCTTTATAAAAAAGCGCTACCTCTTGAAAATCTTTTATATCAGTTGTATTTTTAAGAAAATTTGGAATAAGTGATTGTAGTTTGGCCATTACATTGATGATGATTAGTAAATCTATCTTGTAATTGACAAATAAAATGATCCAAAAACGGTAAAAATATTGATCTTTTGTAATACTGTTCCGGAGAATCAGATGGAATATGGTTACGTGCAGTTTGTCGACCTACAGTTCTTGGTGCCTCAATAATTCCTTCTAACATAGACTCTTCTACATTAGAAAATATTTGTTTAAACTCATCATCGATATTTTCTCGAATTTCTTTAAATATTTGACATACATCTGTTACTCGCTCATAAGTCATAACAATATGACAAATCAATATTTACTTTTTGTAGTGGTATAGATAGTGGTAAAGTTAAAGAAAAAAAGCTGGGTAAGTGGATGTCGCTCTGCTGTTCAGTAGGTTACAAGTGGGTCACTGTATAATGGATGCTTTTAAATTTGAATTCAATGATACAATATCATTGTATAAGAAAAACGATTCTGAGCGAAGACGGTATGTCAGTCTAGGTTTAAGACAAATTATATACATATCTATGGTATTAAAAAAAATTGACTTATAATAAATTCCAAATTAATCATATCACATTATCACAATATCCATTAGGTACTTATAACATGTTATACATCAACATCAATAACAAACCCTGATACTATCATAGATATATAATAGTACACTTTAGAAGTTTCAAGTAGGTACCCACGAATAATATTATATAATCACAACAAAATAACTAGGTTTTTTAATATGTAATTTCGTCCAAATTTGAACATAAAATGACTATAAAAATAAACTGTGATTGTATATTTTTTAAATTTTTCGGTAAGAGAATTAATTACTTAAGTGGAATCTTGTTTTTCATTTTCAATCCTTAGCTATAAAAACTGAACATTTTATAATTTATTAATAACGATGATTAATCATTTTCGAGATTTTGAAAAATTCTGTCAAAACTCGATGTTTAAATGCTTATAAAAAAAAATTGTGCCTATGTATTTTTAATATTTTTCAACTGATATTGTAACAATATATCAGGAGCCTTGTATTAAATTTTTACACTTTTTGGCCCAACAGATAAAACTTTATTGATATTCATAGAAAAAAAAACTAAAAAAATTGAAAAATGAAAATATTCGTAAACAAAAAGAGTCAAAATATTTTCAAAATTGTATGGTGTATAGGAAATGCCAATATAAACATTCAGTGAAATTTTCATGTATCTATAGTTATTCGTTTATGAATAACAACAAAATAAGGAAATCGCTACATGAGAAATCGAGTGAACAACCAATGTTGTAAAAATTGAATTTCAAACGCTCATAAAAATTTAATTTGACTGTCCGGTAGAGATTTTTTTATTGATAAAGGTACATAAACTTATGAGTAATCTTGTATTACATTTTCAAATCTTAGATTTAAAAAGAAAAATTTTTACGAATTCTTAACTCAAAATAATTTGCTAATTTTCGTGATTTTTCCATATTTTGTCAATTTTGAAGCTTAAATGCTTATAAAAAAAAATTGTGACTAAGGATTTTTAATATTTTTCATCTGCCTTTGAAAAAATATATTAGGAGCCTTTTATTAAATTTTCAAGCTTTCGCAACCAACAAATAACATTTTATTGATATTTTAGAAAAAAAACAAAAAAAGATGGAAAATGAAAATGTCCCTAAACAGTTCAAAATAAATCAAAATATTTTGAAAACGTTATCGTGTATATAAAATGCAAATATAAACAACCAGTGAAAATTTCATGTATATACGTTCATTTCTTTTAGAGTTACACCAAAACCCAAAATCGATTTTTTGCGTAAAAATTCCCGTTTTTCCTTAATTTTTATGTTGTTTTTCGCGGCGCTTGTGAAAACTACTGGGAAATTTTTACTTTTGACCCCCCAAAGTACCAACTAGATTCACTTTCCTATCAGAAAAGCTACTGTTGAAGAAAATCCAAGCACTTTTACTTTCCTAAAACGTGATGACAGACACAAAAAAAAATATAAAAAAATTAAATAAAAAACACACATATCATTGTAAAACCAATACATTCATCGCTCCGCTCAGAATCTAAAACGATGGTAACTATAAGACCTCAATAAAAATAGGACTCGAGCACAATTTTGTGGATCATCCTGAATTCGATAAACACAGACACAAAATAATTTAAAAAAAAACACACATCATTGTAAAACCAATACATTCATCGTTTCACTCAGAATCTAAAACTTCTCAATCACATGTAAAGCTATGATAAAAATTGAGTTATTAATGGAAATTGAAAGCTGAAAAGCTGTACGTGATGTTTCTATATTTGAACACTCTTCTAATTTTTTTAATGCATAATTCAATAGAAATTTTTGTTTCGATCGAGTAGGTACAGAAATAAGATAAGATAAGATTATCCTAAAAGTATGAGTTTTCTAGGTATATCGCAAATCGCAACTATACAGTTCTGTGTTCGAGCGTAGTTCTCAGTAATCACCTCGATCATTCAACTATGATACTATAATATAGGTATAAACGTGTATTTCATACCCGACTAATAAACAGAGAAAACCAGTCACAAACAGCTAATTATAAAAATATTTTATAATAATAGGAATATAATAAATTTGACTTAATTTTTAGAGAAATTATTTCGGGGGGGGGGGACCCCAACCCCCCCCCTGTATACGTGCCTGGAAAAACGATTCTGAGTCGAAGATGATTTGTCAACCTATATTACTATTTATAGTACTTTTGAGGCAACACAGACATACCGTAGAATGGCGTGACTAGATTCATAATACAAATAGGCAATAACATAAATTTAATTTAATTGTTCTGAAAAATGTTCAGTAAAAGTTTCAAATCCACAAAAAATATATTTTTTAATTACAACAAAATAACTAAAATTGTCCATATTCGTTAAAATATAAATTTTCTTGGTTATAGTTGAACTACTTATGAGAAACCTTGTATTCAATCCTTAGCCTGAGTCCGATACTGGTAACTGGTTGGTACGTATAACTTGTATCTATAGGTACCTATTGCACGTATAACTTCTTGAACGCTCAAAATTTACTCGATATATGTCATATATATTACTTCCTTGAAAATCTTGTCTTTAATAACTTATAAGTAGGTATAGAACATAAAGGTGATTTTTCAATGTTGTATTAAGAAATGCATAAGTTCAAACACGATATTTATATACCTATCTGATATAGTGATGATTGATATTTGGATACATGCTAAAAATAATCTAAGGGTTATTATTCGAAGCGAAATGGATTGAAATAATATCCGTAATGGCGTACTGATTAATCACGTATATCTTATCATTAATCACTAGGTAATTACTTTAATGAATAATTTATAATACAGTGGATAATATTACAATTCGCAATATGCCAATATCCAATATATTTTTCAAATTTTTAATAAATTTAACATTTTAAAACATATTACATATAAACTTAAGTAAACTGAGATCGACTTAGAAACGTTACAAGAATACACAGTACCCCGTGTTAAGCGTACATGGATCAGAGTTAACAACAACCTGTTTCAGTATCCGTTCCCTGAACTTTTGTTTGCATATTATGTTGTACGGCGCATTGTATAGGCAATATAGGTATATTTTGTGCATTGAAAAACTAATTTTTGTAATTTTCAATAAATTATCTAATTGGCAAGAGTAAAGGCAGCGCATTATTCGGAATGAAAAAAGTTTAAAAAAGGTGGGTAAGTGGCCGTCGCTCTGCTGAACACTGGGTCGCTGTAATGGATGATGTTAAATTTTAATTCAATGATATAATACCATTGTATAATAAAAACGATTCTTTATTTGATGATATTATTATATTGATGATATTCATATTGCGAATAAAGTAGTTTATATATAACCTATTTACGTAGAACCTTGTTTCAAATTTTCAATCCTTAGCTATACAAGTTGAACATTTAACAAATGTTTAACTACAAAATAATTAATGTAATGATTATTTTAAATTTCGTAAATTTTGTAAATTTCGAATTTTAAATGCTTATAAAAAAAAATTGTGCCTATGTATTTTTAATATTTTTCAGCTGCTATTGTTACAATATTTCAGGAGCCTTGCATTCAATTTGCAAGTTTTTTACCCAACAAATAAAATTTTATTGTTATTTATAGAAAAAAAAACTAAAAAATTTAAAACTGACAATGTCCGTAAACAACTCAAAAAAAGTCAAATTAATTTCAAAATGGTATCGTGTATAGAAAATGCTAATATAAACATTCAGTAAAATTTTTAAGAATCTACTGTCATTCGTTTTTTAATTGCAACAAAATAAGAAAATCGTTACATGAGAAATCGAGTGAATATCAAATGTTATAAAAATATGAATTTCAAACGCTCATAAAAATTTCATTTGACTTAATTGTAGACATTTTTTTTTTTTTTTTTTTGATAATGGTAGACAAATGTATGAGGAATCTTGTATTAAATTTTTAAATCTTAGAATTAAAGAGAAAATTGTTTATGAATTTCTAACTCAAAATAATTTGGGAATGTTCGTCATTTTTACGTATTTGTCAATATTTGAACTTTAAATGCTTATAAAAAAAATTGTGACTATGGATTTTTAATATTTTTCATCTGCCTTTGAAACAATATATTAGGAACCTTCTATTAAATTTTGAAGCTTTTGTAAAAAATAAATAATATTTTATTGATATTTATAGAATAAAAAACTAAAAAAATTGGAAACTGAAAATGTCCCTAAACAGCTCAATATAAGTAAATTAAAAAAAAAAAAAAAAAAAAAGGCATGGTGAATAGAAAATGCTAATATAAATATTCAGTAAAAATTGCATGTATCTGCTGTTATTTGTTTTAGAGTTACACCAAAAACCAAAATTGATTTTGCGTAAAAATTCCTGTTTTTCCTTAATTTTTCTTCTGTTTTTCACGACGCTTTTGAAAACTACTGGAAAAAATTTTACTTTTGACTGAGTGTAGACTGTAGTCATACTTAGTTAGCTAGTCACCCTAGTAGTTACAGATCAAAAACTTTGGTCATAATGAAGAGATAAAGACTTAGATAAAACTTCTCACTGTAAAACAAACACTTCTCACTTTACACAAAATCTTTTACGAAATTTTTAACTTAAATCATATTCAGTGCCGAAACTAAGCTTTTTGGGCTCCAGGGCAGTAGAAGTCTTAGTGCCTCAATCGTCAGTACCTACCTACATCATATTACTATCCTCCTGTAATAAAATGTTTTCAACCCTACCACAATTTATTATACTGTAACCGTGATGTATCGTA